CCAAAACGAGAACCACCAAAACGAGAACCACCAAAACGAGAACCACCGGAACGAGAACTACCAAAGCGAGAAACACCAAAACGAGCATCACCAAAACGAGAACCACCAAGACGAGAACCACCGACAGCAGAAACACCAGCACGAGACACAGAGGAAGCTTCACCACGAGCAGACACAGCAGAGACACCAGCAGCACAAACATCACCATCCGCCACAGAGACACGTTCTTTACCACGAGAGACACGTTCGACACCACGAGAGACATGTTCTTCACCACCAGAGACAAGAGTGACACGATGATCATCACCACCCGATGGATCAAAGCGCACAACGTGGACCGAGAGAACCTCACCACAACGAGAAACAGTCTTGACAACAACACCAGACATAGGAGGGGGAGCAGGCTTAAGCATTGCCAAGGTGGGATTTGCATCAACCACACGAGGCAAGCGGCTGTAATCACCAAGAGCAACCCACTTCTCCAAGTACGCAACAACGCAGGACCAAAAGTGGTAGCAAATAACGGCAAAAGAACCCAACAGGAAGAGAGGAAGAGCAAATTCGGCAACTATGTACAGAATGCAATAAAGGAGGAACGCCATTATACAAATGGGTGGAGAAGTAAAAAAGCACGCAAGGAAAAAGACGCAGAGGAGCATGGTAACAGAAAGTAATAAGAGTTGGGAAGAGAGAGGAAGAAATTCGTTGAGCTGGAAACGTCTATTTTATTACCAAGACCACGTCACCCATTTCACTCCATTTGACTAATCCAATGTCATGATCCTTCTCAATTGCAGTTGGAATGGGTAAACAAGTATGTCTAAACTACCTTTATATGGTTTGCTATGAAAGGGTATAGGTGTGGTAGTGTTGTTAGGTGTAGTTGTAGTATAGCCATACCGCAGCAATAGCCTTGACCCCCCTTGAACACCGCCCCTTGTCATATGATAATAGTAAAAGATACGTTTATGAAAGCGTTATGGATGATGGTGGTGTTGTTTATTGTATGTATGTGTGTGTGAAGGGCAGAGACTAATTTCCTTGTGTGCGTGTATGGGTGTGTACTCGTCTTCTTCTTGCTGCTTCTTGCCCATTCAGACCCAACGCCGCAATCGTGGTTCGACATGGAAGCCGTCATTAGCAAGCGATGTGTGAGAAAGAGTGTGTACGAAGGCTAAGGTCGTTATGGTAGAGTGTAAAAGCCCACTTGCCTTTCTTCGTTGTGTATACTCATATGCATGTCTGTTGCAGCTTTCCTGGTTCAGCAATGGCGACAATGGCAACGTTCAGGAGGAATGGAGCAAGAGATTCTATAAAAGGGTGGCAACGAATACTTTGTTGACAAGGCAAGTAAGACCATTTGAAAAGTGTGTAGCAAAGGGATAGGTTGGCATTCCATCTCGACGAGCTTCTTATAATGAGTACTAGGATGCTTTATGCAGCGACCATATCACGTGATATTGCAGCAAGATGACAGCATGAGAAGAGATGGTATGTATGATGTACAGCAATATCCGAGGCATGTCTCATCAAGTGCTAATCAATGGATTGAAACAGGATCATCTTTAATCAATATCAATGGAATTATCGTACCGGGCCTCGTGGATGGATTGGATGATATCAAGCATGACGTATGGCTCGAAGAAGTGCAACCCACGATGGGGATGAGCATGATCTTTTGCAAGTTTACTGCAAGACAATGAAGGACCCTATTACTCATGGTATTGGATCATGGCAGCACGCGGCGTGCCTCGATGCGTTTCTTTTTACGGTATGTATTCGCTTACAGCTGACGTTGTTTTAACAAATACTAACGAAGGTCTTATGATAGTATTCAAAGGGGGACTTTATTGGGGATCCACAACAGCAGTGAATTGTTTATATTGTGACATCTTAGGCGATGGCTGATTTATCTTTCGACCACCCTCAACAAGTCAACAAGCTACCTTTTCTGTGGTGCGAACACAAGGGCTCTTTCATACACCTGCCGACTCTCTCTAAAGCTTTACTTTCTCCTCGAGACTCCTCATTGGTGATCGCACATCTGATTGCGTATCAGCAGCTGTATCTTGCTTACTACACCATCCAGTCCGCATTGAGTCCTTTCTACTTGCTTCATCTTTCTCTGCTATAACACCCCCCCCAAACAACCTTCATGTTTGATGACAACATCTCCACGGCGAAGCTATCTACACTACCTAATGCCATCGTATGCTACCCACGGTTCTAGTGTTGGATTCGAGCATTGTGACTAGTTCAAAGGTATCCAACACGGCATGACAAATAAACCAGCTACTAAGGTCTTCTCATACAAACATTCGTAGATACATCGATACATGAATGCAGGTGTTGGCACGTGGAATACTTTGCGACGAGAAATGACGGCATGATTCAAAGAGTGGTTAGTTGTTTTGCATTACCTTGATCGGCACCCTTTTAATTCCTTATTCTTTAGGCGATTCGCATAGTAGGCAGTTGAAAGCATTGGTTGGATAGGACTGCTTCAGCACGAGAATCATCAAGAAATGATGGCGAGCAGCACACTATCTTTTTATACACAACACTCTTGCTATGGATGCAGTATCAAGTTATCTTGTCTTGGGCTGTCGCTCTGCACTTGCACGACGTTGCTCGATGGTACCTTGTTTTTGTGGTCGATGATGGATCCAGATGAGAATCAAGTATATGGATGGGGATCCTATATGCCGATGAGGTAGGCGAGGATCGTTCTTTCAGGCATGGGTAGTTAATGTTGATCATGTTTCAAATCCATAGATTCCGCCAATCAGTGGACCGATCCATTTCGGATGAACGCAACTAGTAATGTGATGTAAATTTCAAATGCTGTGGGATGCCGCACCCTTGTCTCTATGATATTTTAGCAATGAATGATAAAAGAATGAATTTATAACCATACGTGATACGTGAGAATGAGCTTAAAAGTGAATGAAGCCGATTAATTAGCCAGAGGAGTCATATACAATCCACTGAAAACAGTCGCTTAGCAAATTGCTACTTAATCATTGTTGTATAAAATCACCGGAAAGGTTCTTAGTTAAGGCTACCTCATCAAAGAATACAGCCTCAAGGGTGTGACTAGTGTTCGATTTACGCATGCTTGTTCACCCCCATACACTTTAATCCATCTGTAGAAAAATATTACCACTCGTTGGGAAGTCGAGCTTTTGTCGTAAGCCATCCATGGTAGCAAACCATGGCATGCTTTACACTTCATCACTGCAACAGCATCCATCATCCACTTGTAAAAGACGCCATGTCTACTAAACACCAAGCGCATTGGATACGATTTCAAGCTGATCCTTTTATTTCATAGACTGCAAGCCTACACTAATACCGCTAGGGAAACCTTCATACCTAACGTCTACGGCTACCTCAGCTGCAAGGCCTCACTTATCATACCTTTCTAACTCCAAATGCGTGCATTGATGTCCTATTAGTTGTTGCCAAGTCCTTTCCATTAGGAACAACATGACAATGGTGATGATGACAATGGTGATGATGATGATGATGATGATGATGATGATGACACAACATGTGCGAGTTTATTGCATTTACAAATCATCATGGGCATGATCCATTGGTGGTGCATGATGGGTAGGATTGATTTTCTAAGAGAGGATGATCGAATTGGGTCTAGCATTCTACCATGGAATGAGATGCACGTTGAGTGTTGTAGTATCTTCTTGGATCAAGCACCATCCCACAATACAATATTGAACGTTCTCAAGGGTGATTATTGGTTGCCATGGACACAGATAATGATGGCTTCCAATGGGTAGGTTAGCCTGTGTAACATTGTCACACATAGTAATGCGCTGCACCCAAAGCAGATTTACACTCCTTTCTCCGTCAATGGACACGTACCTCAAGCAACCTGTGCACGACCTTCACAATGCCGGCCAGCAAGGGGATCATGAGCATGTTATTCGCCAATCGACTCTCGCATTGGACATGGTCGACTTTCAGTTGTCATTGCTGGACATTCGAGCACGATCGTGGTGCGCATGTGCAAAGGTTGAGAACGCTTTGGAGGATACACGTCATATGCAGCAACTCGCTCCCTTATCGCCTCGTGGATACTATCGTCAAGGAAAGATCTATGCACAGTATGGTTATCATTCAAAGGCGTTGGCGATATACAAGAACGCAGGGACCTTGGCAGCAGCAGCAGATGATGACGATGGCTTGCGTGATGCGGTTGATAATGCAATCAAGGAATCAACTCGGCAACTAGAAAAGAAGATTGACATGATCGACAAGTTACCCTTGGATGTTGTACTACGCATCGCTCCCATGGTGTTTGGAGAAGACTTTGACCACAATCATCATGCATGTTTGGATGTATCAATGGCATGGCGTGAACGTCTTTTGCAGTATGGACACATTGCTTATGGCTTCGACGCGCAAGAACCTGCCAGCAACGCGATGACTTCTCCTTATGATGTATTATGGAATGGACACAATCAGATTATTCAACTTTCACACTACGTTGAATCATTATGCATCAAAGGCAACAAGGTGCCATTCTACTTTCTCTTGGATTGTGCTCATTTTGATAGCCTCAAAACGTTACAGTTACAAGGTGAGTGGGTGTGATGCCATACATAAATCGGGAAGAATGTCTTGATTAAACAACGTCATATTGTAGATGAATCATTGTTCGGGGAACAAGAAATAGGCTATGCAACTTTAAGGGAGCTGAACAGTACATTGAGACACCTGGAGCTTTGCCTTGCATTTCAATCTTATGATGATCGTGATCCATCCGTGTTTTTGGAGCGAGTGCTTGGCGTTTCCAGCAACCTTGTTTCACTAAAAACCAACTACGTCTTTTATCACAATGTTCATCTTTCGACATACCCAACATTACGACGATTCGAATTCAGTCCTCCTGGTCTCTCCATTAACACCATCGATTACAAAAAATTATTGCTTGCTTTTCCATCCTTGGAGCATTTTTCTGTTCGATTAATCAAGGACTCCACGCTGTTGACGCATATCGACACCACCTGCCCGTATCTCCAATGTCTCGAATACAACCCCCTTTGCATCAGTGATCCATTACCAAAAGTCACCACCACAACAGTGTCATCAAAAGGATTACGCTTCTTGTATATCAATGCGTTTGATGGTGCATACAAAATCGATGACATCATAGCCATTGTGGTACGACACCAAGACACACTTGAGCATCTTTCAATCAACTTGCAGACCGATATGGATCCTAGCCACCTTGAGGAAAAGACAAAACATCAAATGCAATTTTGTCAGCTAGCACACGTTTATTTTGGTATCACTAAAGCACCTGGATGGTCAAGGCAGGCGGTCAATGAGGGATTGGTCAAGGATGCATGTGAATTTTTCGACAATGTGCTTCAAGGGAGCCCCAATATTCAGACCTTACGCTTAAGTGGAGACGCCCTGGATCCTTCAGTACTTCATCCCTCCCTTGCGCCGACTACAACACATACGCAGCTTTGTTATTGGAACCTGCGTTTATGATTATGATGAGGGGGTGACCACAGGTTTACCGCCAAGGAGTGTTAATGCATTGCAGCAAGTATTGAATGAACATGTTGATCACCGTACAGCAAGGATTTTTCCATCATGCGACACATTGAAGGAACTCAAGCTTATATCTTATCGAATCCATATGCCATTGCTTGGCTCCATCGCACGTTTGCATTCCTTGAACAAGTTGTCGATCCATGTTGGAGACGCTTTCCTTAGTGGGCATATCCCTTTCATTGAAGGCCTTTTCAAACTGTGTCCAGCATTATCCGATCTCACAATCAAGGCAACAATCATCAGCGGTTCTCTCATTTGTGCTTTGTCCAATGGCCACCAACTCGAACATCTCACTCTTCATGCAAGCAAGGAATTGAATGATGCGGCATTGTTAGGCCTGGCTACTTGCAACAAGCTAAAGACGCTTAAAGTTCCTTTTTCTGTTGGCAATTATATAGTTGACTTTTTGAAGCACGCAATACCCGGACTTGAAATAAAATAGCTGATAGCTTTGAAACCAAGGTTTCAATATCGCTTGTGGAGTTCCTCTAAATGTTATTATGATAACATGGGTTGTATGTACGTCGTGACAATTGTAATTATCGGATCTAAAGATTGTATTTATTCACGTCTATTCGAGGTGCTTCAAGGAATTGGGATGTCTGCAATGGTGCTAAGGGTTTAAAACCTGTATTTTTGCTGTTGGCAATAGGTAACACGCCATCTTTGTCAGCACGACAATGTTGCTTCCCCGTACATGTGTCGTAATGATGATCATGTGATTAATTTGTGGTTGGCTGTGGACTGCGGGGATATCGTCGATGTACGTCTTTATATAATTCAAAATGGGATAACGCGCTAAACATGATACATAGGCGAAATGATCTTGTATTGCAGGTTGTTCAAAATCATCTTGTTGCGAGATGTCGGTATATTTGCCAGTACTGTGTTGCGTTTTTGCTCCTTTCTATGGCGACGGTAAAAACATCTCATGGAATTTGACTAGTGACCTTGCAATTGCGATTCTTCAGATAGTGCTCTTTCGCAAACGTGTCGTCCAACGCAATGGTATATGCGTTTTAGTTGCCATGGAAACGACAATCACTGAAGATTCGTTCAAGGGTATATGCGTTTTAGTTGCCATGGAAACGACAATCACTGAAGATTCGTTCAAGCAAAGCATGTTCCTATAATAACAAGTGGGTGCAAAATGGCGAGATGCAACAATCCAATTCTCGTCCTCCTTTTGTGGATGACAAAAATATCTTGCGTAATATAGAATCTCCTTGACACCATCCAGTCCCATGCATGGAATAATATAGATCAACGCTAGGTGTGGTTTGTGCGCCTTGTACTGTGAAAGAAAGCAATAGTATTCCCAGGACGATGATGATGAGCCATTCCTAGATGCCATTTGTGCTGGTAGATTGCATTCCATGTTGGTCACTTGTGATTGTCCATCCATGTAGCCATTTCAACGGGGAAGAGGAATACTTGTTGCTGTGATTCACCACCATGCATCTGATTGCTTTGTTGCTAAAGATCTTTGTAATGCCGTAACGAGGAATCCATTTGTGCCATCCACACTTCTCATTTCATGCAACACCATCATTGTATATGCTGTTGTGCACCAACATCAATGCGTGGGATGCATATCAAAAGCAAGCATAGCCACATAGTGACATGTTGAAGAGATAGCGATTGTTGACAGTCGTCTTCATTCATCCATCTATCCGGCTCAATATGGTGTTGTGGTTCTGAATTGTGGCATGCGTGGAGGTAATGGTATCAAGCGTATACCACGTTTCGAGGAGATCAAAGAGAATGCCGAAAAAAGGACAACCCAAAAATGGGAGCTGTATCGCTGATGCCGTAGCCAGGAGACGTATGATGATAACCGGTTACCAGGTCACAAAACATAAACGTTTAGAGAGTCTGCAATCACGGATCATCCATAAAGCGCCTAACGTATACGTCCAAAGGAAGCTCCATTAGCCATCATAACCATTAAAGAGCGAAGATGCAGTGTCATCCCCAATCACGTCATTTACATACCATTTTGCTCCAATCCCAATGCAATGCATTTAAGAGCTTGTTGATAGTATCTCTTGTCGCGTTTCGAAAGGGTCCAACAGATCACCATGTCGCGTTGCATAGGAGCGATCCACATACCATACTTGATCCACCTTGAAGGGTCATCCAGGTACATCCATATCATGCCAGCAATTGCTTGTCGTCCTTCCTTTCCCCATCGATCATGGCGTCGCGACCCATTTCCATATGGTGTTGCTTGCTGTACCATTCATACGCATGAATTGCATCCTTTCAGACCCACACCTCTTTTTATCCTCTGAAAGGGCTACGATATCATGTGATACGTGGATGAGGATAAAGCATAAAAGATAACCGAATCCACCCCAACTTGACAGAAGATAAACGAACCCAAGAAGAAAACGCATAACGATAATCGATGTTCCAAAGGATTTGTGTGAGGGGCACGGTGGCATGGAGCTTTCCTTCATTCTCGGCTAATTGAGGTGCTGAAACCCGTGCATCCAACATGAACGATCCCTTGCTTGCTTTCAGATGTGTCTAAAGAATAAAACCAAAAGTGATGAGCAGCATGAAACAATCACCATTTAAACCATTCCAACATTCCATCTTCGTCTATATACTTCACATACCAATGCCGTTGTCCATGTCAAGGTGTTTCTATGCATATCTGTAAGATAGATGGGTTATTTGAGAGGACGTTCATATCGAATGGCCACGTTTCCTACCTTTTGAATCGTGCACATTATCGCGCTCACACCACGGTACCTGGCAACTTGAAAGGAAGATCAAACCTGATTGACAATCGTTCTGCGGTTGAGATGCTACCATGGATCATACAAGTTGTTTAGAGTTGTGAGATGCGAAAGATAATGATGCAATATGTACCTGTCTCCGATCAATGGGTTGGATGATACCGTAACCACGAGACGGGTGCCTTCAGCCAATTGTTGATAATGTTGAATGCAGAAAACGACATGGAATACGAGTAGCACCTTAGAGAAAGAGCCGTGGTGTAGGTATTTGGTGGAATAACAGGAACTCGTTGACTTGTTGTGCTAGGCACCAAGGCTTTCTATTCATCTCAATGTATCATGATATGAACAAGCCATTGTCAAAATGGATCAACCAAAAGGCCCACAAGGCATGGTGGCTAATACATGTCCATCAGTGCATGGTAAAAATGTCAACTGTAGATTAATACACACCTTAAAGCAACAACATGGTAAACTACATCCAAGCGCGCCATGTACTTCCATACCATGAGTAATTGCGTCCTTCATTGTCTTGTAGCAAACTTGCGAAAAATCATGCTCATCACCATTGTGCGTTGCACTTCTACGATCCATGCGTCATGCTTGATATCGCCCAATGCATCGACATCGCTAGACACAGAAAATCCAATGGTATTGATTGAAGATGATCCTAGTTTAATCCATTCATTATCATCCAATAATGCATTCCCATCCTTTGGATGTTGCTGTAAGTTATACATACCACCGGTAGAAGTTGCCACATCGTTTCATGCTCTCATCTTGCTGCAACATCACGTGCTATGGTCGCTGCATCAACCATCCTAGTACTCATTGTAAGAACCTCGCCAACATAGAATGCCAACATCCCCCTTTGCTACACACCTTCCAAGTGGTCTTGCTTGCCACACAAACAGAGTGTTCATTGCCACCTTTTTATAGGATCTCTTTCCCCATTCCTCCTGAACCTTGCCATTGTCGCCATTGCTGAACCAGGAAGGCTGTAAAAGACAAGCATATGAGTAAACACAACGAAAAAAGGCATGTTGGCTCTTACACTCTAACAACACACTACTCACCTTCATACACGCTCTTTCTCACACATCGCTTGCTAATGACGGCTTCCATGTCGAACTACGATCGCGGCGTTGGGTCTGAATGGGCAAGAAGCAGCAAGAAGAAGACGAGTACAACCATACACCCACACAAGAAAAATAGCCTCTGCCCTTCACACACGCATACAATAAACAACACCACCTCTCATAACGCTTTCATAAACGTATCCTTTATTATCATTAATGAGGAGAGGCGCTGTTAGAAGGGGGTCCAAGGCTATTGCTGCGGTATGGCCACAATACAACTACACCTAACAATACTACCACACCCATACCCTTTCATAAGCAAACCATATAAAGATAGTTTAGACATACTTGTTTACCCATTCCAACTGCAATTGAGAAGGATCATGACATTGGATTAGTCAAATGGGTGAAATGGGTGACGTCGTCTTTGTAATAAAATAGTCGTTTCCAGCTCAACGAATTTCTTCCTCTTTCTTCCCAACTTTGTTACTTTCACAATGCTCTGCCTCGTGCTCTCTGCTCTTGCTGTCTGCTGCTCTCAACCTACTCTTCTTCTTGCGTTTCCTGTTGCTTGCCTTGTGCAGCTTTTGGGTGTCCCTGCCGCGTTCTCGTTTGCCTTTGGCTACGTTCTTTCGCACTTTTGGCCTTCTTTTGTTGCCTGTTGGTGCTCTCTTGTTGCCTTTTGGTCTTCGTTTGTCGCCTGGTGTTCTTCTTTTGTTGCCTGTTGGTTGTCGTTTGGTGCCTTGTGGTCCTCTTTTGTTGCCTTGTTGTCCTCTTTTGGTGCGTTATTCTCCTCTTTCGTTGCGTGGTCTTTTGTTGCGTTGTGGTCCTCGTTTGCTGCGTTGTGGTCCTCTTTTGTTGCATTCGTGGTGATGTGGCAGTCCATTGTCAATCCCACTTACAACCCTTACTCGCCTCTTCGCCCTTTGCCTGGCATCATTGTGACCGACCTCTCTCCATCACGTGAAGTCCTCTCGGTTCACTTTGTTCGCTTTGACCATTCTTGTCCTCCTCCTGCCGGTGTTCCTTGTGTTCACGAGGGCAACAAAGTTGTCTCTGGTTCTTGTGCTGGTGTTGGCGCTGCTGCTGCTTCGGCTTCTTCTGTTACTGCTTGTGACAAAGTTGCCCATGATCACGCTGATGATGTTGCTCCTTCTTGTGGTTCTCCTCTTGGTACTTCTGGTGACTCTGATGATGACGATGTCTCTCTTTCTGCTTGTGGTGGTCTCGATTCGGCTTGTGTTGGTGATGGTGTCGCTGCTGCTCCTGGTGATAAGCATGCTTCTTTTTCGGCTGGTGTTCCTCTTGGTCCCGATGCTGTGCCATCTGATGATGATGATTTGAGTGCTGATGTGGTGGCCTCTGATGGTGTTGATGGCTCGCTTCCTGTTGGTGGTGATGGCCCTGTTCCTTCCGTTGTTGGTGATGTTGCACCTGCTGATGTTGAGGCTGTTGATGTTGAGGCTGCTGAGGACGTGCCTGCTGTTGAGGACGTGCCTGTTGTTGTTGCTCCTGTTGAGGACGTGCCTGCTGTTGAGGACGTGCCTGTTGTTGTTGCTCCTGTTGAGGACGTGCCTGTTGTTGAGGACGTGCCTGTTGTTGCCGCTGTTGCTGCTGTACCTGCTGTACCTGATGTGGACGATGTGGATGCTATGGAAGTTGTTGAGCATGATATTGATGATGACATTGATGAGCTGTGTAAGTATTGTGGTAATATTGTACCTCTTTTATTATACAAGTATCTCATGATGCTTCTATATAGGCTTTCTTTTCCACCACTTGACTGCCGACGATCCTTTTGACGAGGATACGTATATGGCTCCTCCCTTTGATCGGCGATTTGTGGAACCAATCAATTGGATGGAAATCGGTATGTGCTACTTTCGGTCATATGTCGTGTTATAGTGATATGAGTAGTAACATGGTATTATATTTTTTAGAAAACGACCTCCTTTCGGTGATGTCAACGGAGGCAATCATTCCTGATCCTGAACCAGAGCCAATGGAAGCTGAACCTTTGTCACCTGTTACCGCAATTCCCACCACCACCATCAACACCGCTGCTTCCATTGCCAACGCCATTCCTTCATCCACCAACAATACCGACACTCCTTCAAGCATCACCAATACCGCCACTACAGCCATTACTGCTATTCCTATGGATATTGATATCCCTTATGCCAACATCCACACCGCCATCCCCTCCACTGCCATTAATACCGCTACTGCTACCACCACTACTACTGCTACCACCACCACGATCGTTACCTCTCCTCCTCGTCCTGCCCCTCTTTACAACCCTACCATGGCCCTCATCCAATCACGTCTTCAACGAATCCGACAAGCCAGCAACCCATCTTCATCATCATCCGCAACCACCACCACTACGACTACTACTACAACCTCTACTCCTGCCACTAATTCCGCCTCTTCGTCTTCCTCATCCCGATTTCGCCCTGATATGCCTCCTCCACCACCTCGACCACGACGATCTATGCCAACATCTATGCCATCGTCGTCAACATCATCAACCACTATTACTTCCGCTACCCCTACGCCACCTCGTGAATCCGCAACACCACAACAACAACAGCCAACATCGCCATCAACCATCCCTGATGATGTGCGTGAGGCACGTGAAGCCCTCGGTCTCTTTGACTGAACGCGTGTGTGGGTGCCTTTTGGTAAGTGAACATTGCCTATCTATTTTTGCAACTGTTACTTATACACTTCTATCCCATCTATAGGGCGACTGGTTTGGTGGTCCTTTTCTTTGAGGACGTTTTACGGTTACGGATGGGATACCCTGCAGTCCAGATTCAAGGCGTGGATGATTCTCAGGTACGTTCAGCTTCATGTGTGTTGAGTGAAAGGGTCGGCATGTAGGTCTCGCGGTGGGAGGATCTGGAGGGTCATCGATGACGCTACCTTGGGTGCTGTAAGAGCCAACGAGAAGTCCAATTGGTATCCATGATCCAGTATGCTATGTACAAGACCTTGCATTCCTACGTCCTCTCATGGTCTGTTTGCTACGTTACCCACTGAGGTACTTGATTTGGTCTTGAAAGGGTAAGTCGAAATACTGGTATAGTCTTATGATCCATTTACTTACTATTGTTGTTTTATGTTGTGGGGGCCCATCATGGTTATTGATACTTTGATGTGTCCCTGCATAGTGACACCGCCTTTACATGTTGGATGGTCATGTTTTGGCACAAGCGGTAATCATCTGTGATGTGCGTATCTGCAAAGGAACATCAAGACATGGTGGGCAAGGCATCATAGCCTGGGGATTGGTGAAGATTGGACGTCGTTGGATCCGGTACCCTTGGTGCAGAGGATAAGACTTTGAAGGATCCGTGGGAGGGAAAGAGGCCTCATGTCGATTCCTTTCACTCTCCACATGGGGTTGGATGTGCCTGGGATGACATGCCACGTCCTTGTTTCTGGTTCTGTAGGGTATCCCTGTGAGCAGGTTATGGTCACTGTCTATGGTATGTATTGAAGCACAAATGGGTATGTCTTTCAAAACGCTAATGAATGTCTCTCTTCACAATAGGCCTTGGGCCCTTTTGGGGCGATTGTTACGAGCAGCGGCTGCTGTCGCGGAGGACAGGAGTTCTCTTTTCTTTTTATTGGTGTCGTTACCGATTCGGATATTGTGCATATGGTGGATACCAATGGATACACGCAAGGGTTCTCTTTTCTCTTTATGGATGGTGCAATGATATCAAGGCATCGTTGTCATGGCAACAAGGCGCAAGAGTTCTCTTTTCTTTTTACTCGTGCCATTACCAAGCTGAACACATGGGTCGCCATGGTTACAAGTCTCAAGATTTCTCTCGCTCCTTTCATTGGCATTGCCACATGTTAAGAGGCTATCATCATGTCTACAAAGCAAACGGTGTGTCTTTTCAAGAATACTGGATCGGTGCTATTGCCAAGTTGGACACATTTATTGCCAAGGCTACAACCCAACGACATTACATTGCATGCGTCTTATTCGCGCTATTACCTATTTGGACACATTCATTGTCATGGCAACAGAGCAAAGGAGGTCTTTTTGATTCTACTGGCATCGTTACCAATTTCAACACATTCATCACCAAGGCGACAAGGCACAAGGAATTGTTTTTCATTTCATTGGCGGGACACACTTATCGTCATGACTACAGAGGAGACAAGACATTTTCCCTTCTATTGGCGGCGTTACCTACTAGGGTCATTTATCATTGTTGTTCAAGGCACACTGGGGTCTCTTTCTTCAATCCACGGCATGGTGTCACTGAATTTGGGCATTTATCGGCATGGCAACAAAGCACAAGGGCTTCTTTTTCTTTTATTCGATGAGGCGATTCGTTGCGATGCAGCTATTATCTTTGATCCACGTGCATACGATCCTGCTTCGTTCAGCAGTTGGTGCTCCTCTCTGTGATACGATACATGGCTATGGGATCAAGATGCAGATCAACACGTATTCCTTTTATGGGCGTCATGGTGGCAACAGCAAGAACACCATGATCTGGTGACGACCAAAATGAGGTTCATGTCGTTTATTTGGCAGTACGCTACAACGCAAAGAGGAGGTGGTCTATTGTATTCTATAACCGACAAAGAATCATACGGATGGCAACGCAATGGCATTCAGGAAGGCGTTGACTTTGACCATGCTACGATTGTTATGGCTGCAATTGGGAAAATTCATACGCATGGCATCAAGAATGGATTATTACAAGAGATTTTTGGACACTGGTGGCATTTATCACTTGGGTTGGTTTGCAACGCACAACTATGACGATGGCTTTATGGCACTTGGCGGAACCAAGGCACACCTGCAGGCGTCTCATTATGTTCACATGACATCCCATTGGCGGCATATGCATCAAAGTGATCTTTCAAGAAGGCCTTCTTGTTACAATTTGCCATCACCAAGATATTCCAATTCAATGGCATGAGGGACGGATCGCTATTGGCATCTTCAGAAGCCGTTATTGGCGGTGATCACGATTTCACAGCACACATGTGGTAGCGGACGGTGTGGACATATCATCCCCCGGTGGTGGAGCATGCCGAATTGGAACCAATGCACGTGCCATGACTTCATATTGGATCATCTACACTCTATGTGATCAAGAAGGCTATGAATTCATATACACATGGGTGGTATGGCGTTGCAAGAGCATTCACAATATCAACCACGATTATTATCATCATTCAAATCTGGATCTTCTCCCCAAAGCCATACCAATCCAAAGATGCCTGGTGCTCTGTGGACCTTTTCCTATCATTGGAGATTCATGCATGGTTACGGACAACATGACGAAGGCTCAAATCGCATTATCAAATCAACATGGTCGACATTGCAGCCAAAGTCAAGAACAAACCAACCAAGGATCGACCATTAAAAGCGTACGTACATGGTTCCAAAGCCCACCAATAACTATGACGCTTACCATATCATTACATAGGTGCAATCATGGAATGTCTGTACCATATCACAGCGGTCCTGGCGATCGATTCTGGATTTCCTATGCACATCAATTGCAAGATTCCACATATATATGAAGACAAATCAATCTATGGCTCTCTCTATCTCTCTCTCGTACGCGCATACACGTTCATCAATCATTTCAATCAAGCGCTCTATCAATCACAATCACAAATATCAAAGTAAGTATCATTGGGTGAATTGGTTGACATACAAGGTCCATGTATTAACAAAGGTATTATAGAACAAACATGCCGAGAAACAAACGTCAATGGCATCAAGACCGGTCTGGAGGATATGTATCGCTTTGTCGTTCAGGGTCACAGGGCACCGTGCGTCCACCGATTAAGAGTCGCCTGGCCGTTGGGTGCCGTGCTGAATCTGCTCAACAATCTCGACCATCACTCAAAGAAGGATTGGCATTCAATATCATCAAAATCAAGAGAGCCTGAAAGAAAAGTACGTATATGATTGGCATTATCAAGGATGAGGAGTGGATACTCATTGTGGACTGTTAGAAAAAGAAGAAAAGAAAAACGAAGAAAAAAGAAGAAAAGTTGGACTTGCAAGAACTGTGCTAGGAGAACTTGAATCACGCTGGTATCGGTGTTTGACCACAAACGGCCTTACGTTGGCACAAGTGAAAGGATACTCAAAAGCATATACGCGCTCCACATGATAATTGGTAAGTACCTTCTGGGCATTTCGTTATCATGCTATTGCTAATATCATCACCCATAGATTCACCACTATGCACATCAAAGCTGCTTTCAATCCAATGAGGGCGTATCAAGTCGATGGCACAACATCCAAAAATGTCAAGGGGCAATGAAGAGCACTTAGGGCTGAAGCAAAGATGAAGTACAACTTCTGTCAATCGACAAGGAATGGAAACAAGCATACAATGGAAAATGTGTATTGGCAAGGCATTGTACGTATGGGGTCGTACTTTGGAAGCATGCATACCAATCATTGGGACATATGATAGTGGATTGAGCGTTTACGGACAACTCTGTGGAAAATCATGGCCGGCTTGCAGCTGTCGTCAACGTCTTAACAAAACATTGCTCTTTGGTGGTAGGAGCAACCTTTGACTGGTGGCGGTCATCAATGCCTTGCTAGATGTCTATATTAATATCTCGTTGTAATAATATTATACATACATTTATAAGCTCATGCATAATAAAGCATGCGGAATTTATTATAATACATCATACTTTCATTAGGCCTACGCATATATACTAAGCATCAGCAATTGATTGGCAACAATGCTGTTCATGATCCAGCAGGCATAATTAGTTTCTAACCCAGGTGCATCATGATAGTGGATAGCAATGGCATGAAGTGGACTTTGGTTTTGCTATATACGTGATCCATGTAAATAATACGGTAACCTCCTTCTCAAATCAGCACAATTCCTCCCGTTGTCTCTTTTACTGTTACACGCTTCACTTGGCTATTTGAACTCAAAGAAATGAAAAGATGAGGTCTGCGGATTGTGTGAGGGTCTGCCGCCTGTTGCCCATTCTAAGGTAATGCTCTTTTTATATCATCAATATGGATGCTTAAGGGTATATTCATGATTCAAGGGTGTTTGGTTATCTATAGGACAAACATTCATGAGTCATGCAAGTACATTTCTTCTCAACAATAGGTGTCCGGGTACTAGCACTATACCGCAATCTTTATTTCTATGGCCCAAAATACTATCCTAATACCGCTAGCGAAACACCAATCCACATCATCCACCAGTATCCTAATCCTAAACGCTCTTTGCAAGGTCCGTGGTGATTCACCTTGCCTGCCCAATCTCTAGCTTGAGTGAACTCATACGAGCAGTGAACCTCGGTGAACAAGGGTATCCCGAAACACCATCATCATTGCTTACCTCGTTAACCCAAATAAACATCATCATACTGCTTTCACCAGATCCATATATAAGGAGAGAAAAGCATTCGACGGAGTAAACGTGTAAGTCCATGAAGCAAACGGGTAAACGCACATGGGCATTCGATCGTGCTGAAAAGATGTTGTGGAGTATTCGAGCATGGTCTTCCTATCCGAGTGCTGAACGAAACACATCCAAGAAGTAAGACAACATGTATGCACCATCAAAGATTGACGTTTGTTCATGCTGCTGATGGTGATGATGATGGTGATGATGATGGTGATGA